GCAGACTCCAAGAGGTTTTCTTCCAAGATTGCCCTGTATTTGGCTCCATCCATCTTCCCATCGACTCTGACCAGCTTCCCTGTCCCTGCTGAAGAGAAGCACCCCCAGAGCATGATCCCACCACCACCATAATTGACAGTGGGGATGGTGTGTTCAGAGTGATGTGCAGTGTTAGTTTTCTGCCACACATAGCGTTTTGCATTTTGGCCAAAAAGTTCCATTTTGGTCTCATCTGACCAGAGCACCTTCTTCCACGTTTGCTGTGTCCCCCACATGGCTTGTGGCAAATTGCAAACGGGACTTCTTATGGTTTTCTGTTAACAATGGCTTTCTCCTTGCCAGTCGTCCATAAAGGCCAACTTTGTGCAGTGCACGACTAATAGTTGCCCTATGGACAGATTCCCCCACCTGAGCTGTAGAGCTCTGCAGCTCGTCCAGAGTCACCGTGGGCCTCTTGGCTGCATTTCTGATCAGCGTTCTCCTTGTTCGGCCTTTGAATTTAGGTTTACAGTTGTGCCATACTCCATTTCTGAATGATTGCTTGAACAGTGCTCTGTGGGATGTTCAAGGCTTGGGAAATCTTTTTGTAGCCTAAATTTCTCAATAATTTCATCCCTGACCTGTCTGATGTGTTCTTTGGACTTCATGGTGCTGTTACTCCCAATATTCTCTTAGACAACCTCTGAGGCCGTCACAGAGCAGCTGTATTTGTACTGACATTAGATTACACACAGGTGCACTCTATTTAGTCATTAGCACTCATCAGGCAATGTCTATGGGCAACTGACTGCACTCAGACCAAAGGGGGCTGAATAATTACGCACACCCCACTTTTCAGTTATTTATTTGTAAAAAATGTTTGGAATCATGTATGATTTTCGTTCCACTTGTGTAGTGTACACCACTTTGTGTTGGTCTTTCACGTGGAATTCCAATAAAATTGATTCATGTTTGTGGCTGTAATGTGACAGCCCCTTGAACTTACAGTTCAAGGGGGCCGAATACTTTTGCAAGCCACTGTATATAGCACTTTTCTAGGCACCCAAAGCGCTATTCATTCACACACTGGTGCAGGCAAACCACAGTGGGCAAACCACAGCAGGCAAACCACAGTGGGCAGACTGACAGAAGCGAGGCTGCCATATCACGCCATCGGCCTCTCTGACCAACACCAGTAGGGTAAAGCGTCTTGCCCAAGCTTTCTTTTTTCTTTTGAACTACATGTTTTGTCTCTCTTTAGACCTCTACAAGTTATTTAAAGCACAATCAAAATAACACAGTTCACTGACATGAATATGCTGCTACAGAATAAAAAATATTCCAGACTTAGCTATCCAACAAACAGGAGAGTCTAAGACTGGGCTGTAGACATGCAAAGCAAACATTTAAAGCCTGCTTCAGTGTGATATTCAGCACACTGACTTCGTGTTTAATCTTTAATTCAATTTGATGAGCCAAAATATCAGAGCAGTCACTGCTGATGTACCTTTAGAGACAATGTATAGATGATGTCCAGCTTGAGCGGATTGCTAACATCCTACAAGATGATCTGTAATCTATTATTCTGCCCCAGTGATATTTACACAGATGGATGAGTTAATCAACATGTAAAACACTAACAACACAGTAATTTAACAGAAGCTCACATTGGATGCAGTCCTCATCCTGTGCCAGTGGTTTCATCTAAAAAAAAAAAAATCTGTCTTCAAGATTCTTCCAGATTCTTCCACTTTTGTAACTTGCCTTTCTGTACCTCATTCAAATTTCTTTAGCCATCCTCCTCTTTTCTGTAATTCAGATGTTACACTTTTTTTGCTCTCTGCTTCTGTGCTTCTGTGCTTTTAAAGATTACAAATGGTTTTCTTGATAAGCCAAAACATAAATCCATAAATCCTCCATGTAGTGTTTTCAGTGGGAAACATGTTTCAGGCCTCTACAATGCAAAGCAAACACCATCCCCACAGACAGAGCGGCCAGGAAAGCAGAAGAACACCATGTCAAAAAGGCCCTGAGTAAATGTGGTTATTCCAGCTGGCCATTTGTCAAAGCTGGGAAGACACCTAAAGAAAGCTCCAGGCAATCCAGGAGAGGAGGAGGACAACGTAGGCAAAACCCTTAGTGATCTCTTATGTGTCATGAGTATTGGAACAGCTGACATGCATTTTCTCAAAATACCACCTATCTGTGGCTTTCAAACCCCTGCTCCCCTGGCACAAACACAGTAATATAGTGCCAGGAAGATTGCCGTGAATTATACATCAGAGAAACCAAACAGAGCACCAAAAAACAAAACAAAAAAATACACACAGTGAACTAATTTAAGGCTCTTTTTATTTTAAATGACAACAGTTATGTTGGAGCAACGAAGTGATTTTCTCCCAATAGCTCAAGGACTCAATAAATCCACCTTCTCTGAGTGTGTGCGCATGTGTCTCTTCAGCCTCGTAGACGTAGAGAAGCCCTTCTTACAGAATGCGCAGCTGTGTGGCTTCTCGCCGGTGTGAGTCCGTACGTGTATGTTGAGGTCTGATGAGCACCTGAACCTCCTCTCACAGTAAGAGCAAGGGTACGGCCTCTCTCCGGTGTGTGTGCGTTTGTGCAGGAGCAGCTCCCCAGAGGTCAGGAAGGTTTTCCCACACTGGGAGCATGAGTGTGGTCGCTCCCCCGTGTGAGTCAGGTTATGTCGGACGAGCGAGGTGGACTTGGAGAACCTCTTCCCGCAGCGGCCGCATTCGAACGGGTGCTCGCCAATGTGGCTGTGGAAGTGTTCACTCTGAGCGCGCTTGGTTTTAAAGCTCTTCGGGCACTGAGGACAGCTGAAGGGCCGGAAGTTGCTGTGGATGCGCTGGTGCCTCACAAGCTCTCCGTGAGTGAGAAAGGACTTCTGGCAGGTGGTGCAGAGGTATGGCCGCTCGCCTGTGTGGATTCTCTCGTGGCGTGTGAGGCTGGCCAGCTGGGTGAAGCTCTTCTCGCAGTATGAGCACTGGAAAGGCCGCTGGCCATTGTGAGTCAGGAGGTGCCTGTTAAGGATCTGAAGCTGCGTGAAGCTCTTTCCGCACTCTGCACAGGGGTAGGGACGCTCTCTGCTGTGGGTCTGCTGGTGCTTATTCAGAAGCCACACGTGGGTGAAGCTTTTCCCGCACTCGCATGGAAATGGCCGCTCACCTGTGTGCTTCATCTGGTGTCTCTTCAGGTCCGAGGCTCGGCCGTAGATCTTCTCACACATGGGACATTTGTACTGACGCCTTACGATGTGCCTCTGCCTGTGCCTCAGTCGATCCAGGATGCTGCTAAAGCTCTCACCACATTTCTGGCATTTATACTGACCGCCCCCCTTCTCTGACACCACCTCTGTCACCACCACCTCTGTTGTTAGGTCTAGCTGAGGGTTGCAGGTCTGGCCACAAGCCGTTCGCTCAGAATGCAGTTTGAGCAGCCCCATCTGAGTGAACCGTTTGCCGCAATGAGAGCAAAGGAAGGGGCGCTCTCCAGTGTGGATGCGCTGATGTCTGGTCAGATCCCAAGAGTTCTTGAAGCCCTTCTGACACTCCTCACAGGTGTACGGGCGCTCGCCCGTGTGGGTCCGCTGGTGACGAGTCACGTCCGAGACCCGCGTGAACGTTTTGCCGCACTCCTGGCATGTGTGTGGGTCGGGCCTGTCGTGGATGGGGAAGGGCTTTGGGAACTCAGGAGGGAACGTCTTCTTGGGGGTCTCACATGTCTGTGCAGCCCTCTGGAGTTTGGCGTATTGTTCAGGATGGCTGTGCTCAA